GGTAGGTAGGCCACCATCGGCCACCCGTGCGCTGCGGGCTGGCCGACCCCGCCGCTCGCGGACGCTTACAATGGAGGGTTTTTCGGTGATGCGGTAAGCAATGAATGCAGGATATACCCATTTTACTGTGTGATTTTTTTTTCTTCGGAACCCATCTAACTTTAACGTTGGTTCGCACGCAGGGCCCGTGTTGTCGTCGGCTCCTCCGGAAGTACTCCCCGGGCCGACCGGGTCCGCGGAGGCGGTGCCCGCCGCCGCCCCATCCTTGCAGTCCGTTTCGGCCCCACCGGAGCCCCCACCACTGCACCGTGCAAGGCAGGGCATAAAAACTTTACATTTTGATAAATTATATTATTTTTTTTTGGGGGGGGGATTTTCCGGTGTTTAAAGAAATATGAATGGGATAATCTAATTGAGATTGATTTTTAAATCTAGAAGTCATTCCATTCATATTAATGACCCAAAATTCCCGAATATGTTGCGTTTGCATTGCCTGGTGCCTGCAGGTCTGTGATACGGAACCCCGTCGTAAGGGTCGTGTCCGTGGTCGCCTCCACTGGGGAGGGGGGCAGCGGCGTCAGCGGGAGGCGGCCGTCCGCCACGTCGACTCTCAACTCTGGCTCACACGACTCCTCCGGGTCCCGGGCGTCACGGGGGTCGAGCGGGGGCGGCTCGTCCCGACGCTCCTCGGGGACCCTGACGGGGACCCAGACCACCTCCTCGGGCTCCTCCAGCACCTGGACGACGGGGTCCAGCTCTGCCACGAGCAGGAGGAGCAGCGGCGACTCCGGGGACACTTCTCTGGGTGAGGGAGGCGTCGTAATAAAAATGTTGATTCTATCAGCGTTTCACGGTCAAAACAATGTCTGACCCTTTTTTTTCTTTAGAAAAAGGAAAACCTTTGAGAAAAACCCATTTGATGTACTGAGGAAAACTCTTAGATTTTGTAGAAATCTCCTCAAAAAGTGTGTGAATTTTCCTCATTTCTTGAGGAGACTTCCTCAGAATCCGCGGAGCTTACCTCAAACTAAAGGAGTTCCTCGAAGTTTTCCCCTATCTTTAAAAAAAAATCAGACATTGCTTGTATCGTGTTTCGGTCGGCGCAGCGACGTACTCGGACTCCAAGAGTGACTCGCGCTCCATCGAGGAGGAGAGAGACGGAGGGCGGGCGCTGTACGACCTGCGTGAAGAAGGGGAGGAGGAGGGGCAGCAGCAAGATGATGGCGGTGAGGGGAGCGAACTCGGGAAAGAGGCGGATGGAAAAGTCCCCACATCCCCCGTCCCACCAACTCCGAGCTGTAGCTGGTCAGGTAGCGAGGCCGACTGGACCGAGGAGAAGTGGGTAAGTTGGGTTGTCCTTTTTCACACGGTTAGGGAAAGAGCTCTAATCGGGAATGTGTCACTTTCATCCTGGCCGCGGACCTATTAGAGGGACGACGGGACGACCTTAGTTAACCCACCTATGACGCCCTTATCCCCGCGGCTCCCCGTTGCCCAACGATCCCTTAGTAGAATAATCACCGACTCAGAGCTTACTGCAACTGCTCACGGGCGGTTGAAAACTTTTCTCCCAAAATAGTTTTAGATGGTTAGTGGCTAGGAGTCAGTTCAGATCAGGCATCAGGGGAGTGCGCCGCAAGGCCTCCATTCGTGGGTGGTGAGATATATAGAGCTTTTAACTTCATTCAGGAGAGTAAAACTATGCTCTACAAATTAAAAACAT